GGCTGCAAGGGAAGGCGAGGGGTGGGCACGCCGGGGCAGGGGGTCCCTGCCCTCCTTGGCCCCGCTCCCCCTGCCCGTCCCAGCGGGATGGGGGGGCCGGTGCATCCCAGGACCTACTGTGCTTAGGAATAGGCCAGTCCCTGGAGCGGCCGCGCAGGCGTGTGGAACTTGTCCGAGTCCTCAAAAGCCGGGTCTGGGCGGCGGGAGGAAGGGAGGGAGGGAGGCAGAGAGAGAGGGTGAGCCGAGGTGGGGGGGAGCAGTGGGCACGGGAGGACAGGGACAAGGGTGGCATGGTGCACCCATCCCTGCAGTGCAGCCCCAGCCATGCCCCAGGTGCAGGGAGGAGGCATGGAGTCAGGCAGGGGTGCAGGCAGGAGAGCGCAGGCAGCCTGCGGGAAGGGATCTGCAAGGCTGCAGGCAAGCGCCCTGCTTGGGCAGGGTGCAGGCAGCAGGGTGGGCATGGTGCCGCCGGGACCCCCCTCCGTGGGGAAAGGGGGATCTGGGGGTGGGCTGGAGTGGGCAGGGAGCCGCGGGCAGCGCGGGCAGGTGAGGGCAGCCCTGCCCGCACTGGGCTCACCTTGCAGGCCGCTGCCGCTGGTGCTGGCGCAGGCGGGCGGCGGGGAGGTCTGCGGCCGCACCACGGGGGCGAAGGCGCTTTTCTGCTTCACCGCCGAGATCATGTTGACGGGGGAGAAGGAGAAGACCCCGGAGGGGGTGGAGGCGTTGATGCCCGACGGGAGGGTGATGGAGGAGGCGCCGAGCGGGGGGCTGGCAGGCATGACTGCAGGGAGAGACCCACTCAGGCCGGGCAGAGCTGGGGACGGGGCATCGCTCCCCGTGCGGGATGCCAGCACACCCTGCTGACACCGCGTGGGACCCAGCTTGCAAGGGCCAGGGCTGGGGCCGGGGCTGTCTCAGCTCAGGTCGCTGTGTTCCCTCTCCCCCTTGCCCTCGCAGCCAGCTTTGGGGACGCCCCGGGGCTGGTGCATGGCTTTGGGGATGCCCCAGAGCTGGTACACGGCTTTGGGTGCTCCCTGGGGCTGGTACACAGCTTTGGGGACACCCCGGGGCTGGTGCATGGCTTTGGAGACGCCCTGGGGCACCGACTCACTGGCGTAGGGGGAGTTGGCGGTGGAGCCGGCGAGGAAGCTGGGGGAACCAGGCACCCCCAGGCCAGCCATGGTGCCACTGCCGTAGCCGTTGATGCCGGCGGCGCTGCTGTAGCTGCTCTGCTGCGGCGTGGAGCTGGGCACGTAGCCCCGTGGTGAGACGCTGCCCGTGTTTCGGGAGTAGCCTGCAGGCGAGAGGGGCCGGGGGTGGCACGGGGCGGGCAGGGACCCCCTCCCGCTGCCCGGCACGGCCCCTGGCCCACCTTGCTCGGTGCCCTGCGGCGAGGCACCAATGTTGACGGCCCGCCGGCTGCCGAAGGAGTTCACCCCCATCATGCCGGCGGGTCCGTGGGTGCCGGCGAGTGAGGAGAGCTGGCCGGGGTTGCGAGGGACGCTGTACAGCGCCTCGGCGATGTCTGCCGCTCGCTTCAGGATGATGTCCTGGAAAGAGGGGGGGACACAGGGACAGCATCACCCCGCGGCAGGCAGAGCCTGGAGTGACCCCACGGCTGTGCTGGGCAGCGATGGGGCAGGGGGGGCTGAGACCACCCCAGCTCACGTCACCTCCCAGGGCACCCGCAGCCCCAAACGTCCCCGGGGCGCAGGATGGGCTATGCCGGGCAGCGATGGGGCAGGGGGGACCAAGACCCCCCAGCTCGTGCCACCGGCCGGGAAGGACGTGGGAACAAAGGCGGCTTTAGAGGCGCCAGCCCTGCGGCCTGACCCGGCGAATCCCCTTCCCCTGCAGGTGGGGGGCTCGGGGCGGGGCCCACAGTGCTGACTCAGCGCCTGAGGAATCCTGATGTGAAGCAGATGTGGGGCCTGGAGCCCGGGG